CAGCGACAATGCCTGGGATTATCAAAATTATCGCCTTTTTGGAATTGCAGCAACAGAAAATTTGCGTATGAATTTTTTTTATTTTTGTAGCATAGTGAGAATGAAACATTGAAAAGAAATTTAGCTTCAATCCTACCTTTTGTTATGGGTCCCTTTCCCTTGTCAACCGATCCACTTCCACCAGCACATTCAATTTGCTTCAAGTTGAAAAATAGGAACGCATATATGGTACTTAGTTTGGAACAACCAAATTGAATGAATTGAAATGTAAAATTAATGGATTTTTGAAACAAAAAAAAAACATTTGCCAATATAACATGGTGGATTGACATTGCTTTAAATTTGGGGTAATTAATCGCGTGGTATGTTTTTTTTTTGGTTTTCCTTCGTTTTCGAAAAGTCAATTTATATTGATAATGAAAAAATACTCTTCATGTCATCGATCGACACAATGCAAAATTTTTTTTAGAAAAAGTTGTAAGTTACCATGAATTGGTCTCCCAAAACCGCAACCAGAACCAAACAAACTAAACGGAGAGAAAATATTGATCAAAAGACAATGAGTGACTGAAATCTCAAGTATTGTCAAAAATGAAGATTTAAAAAAAATGAAGGAAAAAGAACTTAGAAGAGACTCACCCATCAATTGCTTGGACATGTTTATAGTCGAATCACTTGGAAAATAACTAAATTTCCACGATTTTGGTGCCTCATTTATAGTCAAAAATTAGATCTTGTAAACATGTCCTCATTATGACACGTGCAGCAGAAAAAAATTCCTTACGACTGAAATCGAAAACAAATTATTTGAACACATTTTTTAATTCGAGCTTCTTGCGTCAATTCTCGCGTTTTGTTATTTTGACAGGTGCAAATGTTTGAATATGTAAATGAACTCGTATTGACGCACAAATTTTTCTGGCTTATTTCAAAAACAAATTATTCTTAGAGAATTTGTTACTTGTGGTTCCTTGTTTTGAAAAATTCCAGTCGAATAATGAGTTCATTTATATATCAAAACACCTGTACCTGCACACAGAAAAGAATCCCCGGAAATTTTGGGTGTTCGCCGTAAAATTTGACATTTATATTTCTATATACATCATAAATTTCTATATACATTTTACCGGCAACACTTCAATTTTCCGGGCGATGACATATTTTCGAACATTTTATCAAATACTATGTATATTTTACCGCTTGAAATGACAGATGGCGCTAATTTCTGTTGGAATATTTGAAATTATGTCATCGCCCGGAAAATTCAAGTGTTGCCGGTAAAATGTATATAGAAATTTATATATAAATGTCAAATTTTACGGCGAACACCTAAAATTTCCGGGGATTCTTTTCTGTGTGTGTGTATTCCAACCACCAATAATTGGAAAAATAACAAAACGCGAGAATTGACGCAAGAAGCTCGAATTAAAAAATGTTTTCAAATAATTTGTTTTCGAATTCAATCATAAGCAATTCATGCTGTATGTGTCATGATTTCATGCATTTTCAGTTAAGTCGATTTTTAAATCGAATATTTGCGATACCTACATGAATCTCCGGGACTTCTTAGAGTCTTCGAGGAAGCCACATTTACCACTTTATCTATATATTATTGTGCGTGGCACATTTTTGTACACGATTAAAAACATACTTCCACTCAACCGATTTGGCTCGCACTTATACCAATCGAAAGGTAATGTAACGTAGATTTGCAGAAAAATACTAAACACTCAAAAATGTCAGTGCGTATTTGAGTTGAGCACGTTTATGTTAGCATGTGTTTTTGGATCCGTTCATTATTTTTTTTCAAGTTTTTCGATCGTTCGACACCAAAATTGTGGTTTTTCATACTTTTATGAGTTTGTAGTTCTATCCCAGAGAATTTGACATAGTTCATTTCATAATTCTTAGAAAAATATAGAACATCAAAAGTGCATTATAGGTAAATTCTATGAATGTGTTTCTAAAATTGAGTTGAAATAAAAGCGATTTGGATTTTTTTTGGATATTGTGTTCCAAAGTAAATTCAATCGATTTAAACTTGAAATGATGGATGTGGCAAAACATTCACACCACCACATAAATTGATTTTGAAAGTCAATTATTCAGGTTTGAAGTCTAAGTTTTAAGTCTGCTAGAAGTTTCATTTATTTTTCACAAACTAATCATTCAATGCGTTCAAAATTTGTCCAGGTTAAAAATCTAACATCTCAAACCTTTTGGAAGTTTTCAAAAAAAAATTCGGGAAATTTCAAGTTATTTTCAAACATAAGAAACTAATCCACGAAAAAATCTTATAAATTGAAAAAATATCAATTTTGGATCAGTATCAATAAGAATGCAGACACCAATATATATAATATAAAAAATATATATATAATATACCTCGACCATTCCACACGAAATCAGTTAAGAATTGGATCGACCAGGCCGCGCTAGCGTCCTATCTAAATACATTATAATGAATAAGTACAAACTAATACATATGCATTTATACTATGAATACGTTTCATGCTATGTGTTTTAATTTCATTTAATTTTGGAAATTGAAAAAAAATATTTCTCGACAAAATATATTTTAAAACATCATTGCAATAAAAAAAACTTCTAAGTAAAAATGAATATATTGATATTGAGTAAGGAAATTTGGTGAAATCGGTGAAATACTTGAATCAAACATAAACGTTTGAAAAACGTACGACGCGCGCCAAAGCATAAGTGATGTCAAAGTGTGTACAAAGAGTGAAGCAATAGTGCGTTTAATGCTATGTGCTATAGTGTCTCTGTTGATGTTGATCGCTGACGTTTATATAAAGGTGTCAAACGGACGGACAACGGACGGACATTTGCTGTCCGTCCGTCCTTTTACAAATTTGGGACGGACAAATTTTTTTGTCCGTCCGTTTGAAAACAACAACCTGTACGCTCAGTACAAATATTTGGTCTTAATGTCAAATCTCTGAATCTGAACGCGCTCCATGAAACATCACGCCTGCGTTTTGCGCTTTGATCGGATTCAGTGGAGACGGTCTACTCTTTGTGAAAGATGCGATATGTAATATTTCTTATTTTTTGAAAAAACCAATAAATTTAATTAAAATCCTGTTTTGTTATGATTTATTTTTGTTATAAATTATTATTGTTTATCAATATTTCACACAATTATGAATGATAATAAAAAAATCTGTGACAAAGCGGTCGTCAATTCTAAATCACATTGAATATAAATTGAATAGCTTGAACTGAAATGTTGACGTGCTTTTTTCTCCATCGGCCGCTCGCTTTGTAGTGAAATCCATTAAGATTTTCATAATTTCAGATATGAAAAATAAATTCGGAGCGATGGTCGTTGAATGTATTCAAATAAAGCGCAATGAAAATTGTAATTCAAAAAATAAACAAACCAAAAATGAAATACATCCTCTGAAAATGGTCTTGTGTATTTTTATTTGTAAAGGACAATTAGTTCTTAGTTTTCAGTCGAACATGCTCTGTTTACGCATACTGCATTGCACTGTATGTTTGTTTACATTCAGGAGAGTTCAAATGAGTTCATATCTTTACGACACAAGCCAGCTACTTTGACCACTTGTTAAAACGACTATTTTCGTCAATTTCTTGCTATTACTTGCACTTGAACCATTGCTAATATCAGACGGGGAAAATATTCTAATTTTAAAAGATTGTTTCAAACGGTGTAATATTTTAGAAAATGAATGGTAAGATTTTTTATAAAAACTGTGCCAGATTTTCAGATTGAATGTTGTATTGTGCAATAAAAATAATTTTCATCGTTTTGAATCAACTGAAATTTGTGATAAAGCTGTCATTTGTGTTAATTCATTTTGTCTGCGTTCTTGTTTCAATCTTAGCCATTTCTTTGTCACTAAAGAGGTGTACAGGGAGTAGAAATCGATGTTCATATGGATTGTGTGAAGAAAATATACATCTACAGATTCTCAGTCGAAACATGAGGCTAAAGATCCTGAAAAAACATCGAATTTTCGTACCAGCTTCATCTCACTTCTGTGCGCAACACAAAGATGCCTCATGGAACGATTATCAGACACCGATGTATAATTACTCGAAAGATCAAGTTGAAGAAATGGTCGATTTGCTATTAAATGATGAAAATCTACCAGAAATTCGAGCAACGTCTGATGACGAAATGCGCACCTGCACCGGATTGAGTCATGCTCAATTTGATATTCTGTTGTCTGAACTTCCAAGTTTAACAGCAACATACAAAAGCAAGGATATTGCCAAAGTTGTTCTAATGGCATTTTTGAAGCGAATGAGAACCGGTCATACGTATGATCAAATAAGATACAGCCTTGAAATTTTTGACAAAATATAATATTTTTATTATACATTGACATTTTTGGTCCCTTTGAAGCCACACAAAATGATGCATCAATCATGAAATTTGTGTTTGATAAACATGCTGACCCAATTATGAACAAGTCTAAGCCTGGAGACGTTTTATTGCTCGACCGAGGATTTCGCGATAATATAGCCATGCTTACACAACTCGGTTTTGTTGTTAAAATGCCAGAATTTGTGCATAAGGATGATGAAACCGGCCAACTTACGACTATGAAAGGTAATTCGTCGCGTTTAGTCACAGCAAATCGATTCAGTATTGAAGCGAGAAACGGGAACATAAAAACCATATGGCATGTATTTGACACTCGTTGGTGTGCATACGATCTCACGCATTTCATGGATGACTATCGAATCGGAGCGGCTCTCATCAACAAGTTTTTCAATAAAATTCATCCTAACAAAAACGATGCTGCTGAAATGGCTGATAGAATGCTGAACCTAGTGAATGTTCCAAATGAATTGCAAGCTATCATATCAAGCAATCAATTTCAACGCGAAATAAAAGAGTTTATTGTTGGCATATTGGATAATTTGGAATTTCCGAGAATGACTGAAGACGAACTGAAGAGAATTTCTCTGGGAAATTATCAAATTAAATTGATGTCATCGTATTGTGTTGAACACATGAAAAATTCAGACGATCAATTTTCATTTTATGTATGGAACGAAGATAAACATTCAATTTTCTTCCGCGATGTTATCGCAAGAAACGGCATTGTCAATCCGATTTTAATTTTGGTTGACCTACATTCTCGTTTTCGCAATAGAAAACAATACCGAGTGTATGTTTTGGCTGACGCAGCTATCAATGGCTCTGAAGCTATCCATGGATATACTTGTGAATGCCGACATGGACTACGAACCGTTGGATGCTGTGGTCATATAATGGCCGTGATTGGATATTTGGGATTCTTTCAACATAATATTGAATCATTAAAAGAAGTATCAGCATTTTTGAATGATTTGTTCGAAGAATAATTGCTAAAAAAATGTTATAATTTGTCAAGAGTAATTTCAGAAACTGTAATACAATCATTTGTCAAAGATATTTGTTTAAATAAAATTCAAAAATAGAGGCAAATTCCTTTGGTGTTGACAGATATGCTTTAATATTTAAAGTGGTGTTGTTGTTGAATTGTCACAAATATATGCATTCAGAATACGTCATTCGCACTGTAAACATTGAAATCTTCCGCCAAAGTTGTTGTCCAACAAAACGAAACAAAACAAGCACCGAAATGAGTGAAGATAAACGTCGAGGTAAGAAATGTGGATTAGAAAGATGAACATTATTTTTGTATTGAAGCATCATTAAAAAATTATTCATATTTGTTTATCAGTGACTCGTCAACTCACAAAAGATGCAGAAAATGCTTTATTCTACGATGAAGCATACCGCTTGCCGGAATGTTCCGTGCATTTGCGCATTCTAACACCGCAGCAAATCGCTAATTTATGTCGTCCGAATCGTCCAAGGAGAACGCGCCCGCGCGTCATACAAGTGTCGAATGAAGTCAATGTTCAATCAATTGACCATGAAAGTGTGTATTTGAAATTGAATAATTAATTTCAAAATTTCATATACTGTGAATCAAAAGAAATTATGTTTTGAATTCATTCGTTCTAGCGCATTTGCACGTACAACGGATCGCAAAGGAACATGACTATAGTGCGCCGCCGCAGTGAACGCGTTACGTGTCATTCCGAGAAATCGATGAAAAAAATACAGTTATTTCGTTAAAAACTTGAAATAATAAATAAAAATCTACATTTCAAAATTTAAATTTGAATTCTAATGTTCGTTGTTTCAATTTCATACCATGAGATTTTCAAGCTCACAAAAGCTAGTCATAGTAGCCTTGCAATTTCAAAGATGGCGCCAAAATGATTCAAAAAAAATAACAAACGTTCAACTTCGAAATAAAGTCAATGCATTTGTTCATTTTTCTTTACAAATAAATACAAAAAAAAATGCAACGAAAACATATTTTTTTCTATGTTGAACCATTTAATTTGATTTTTTAAAGAAGAAAAAACAAAAAACTTGTGTGTTGCATTGCGTGTGCGTTCATTTTTGTCTTTTGATTTGCAATAAACGCGTTCTGAGTGACATATTGACATTGTATCGATTGTACACACTAAGACGCGTCTGTTCTCCCGCTCGAACATTTATAGTAAACAAAAACGCACTACACGTATCTTTGTACAAAATTAGCATACGCTCAAAATATCGTATTTTACCATCTAATTAAAACCGACAAAAAAGTGTTCAATTTCGCCGAAAAGTGTTTAAACTCAAAATATGAACACAATTTGTGTTATTTGTTTTGATTCAGGTGGATTGAATCGTGTTACACCATGTAACCATACTTTCCATAACCATTGCATTTCACGTTGGCTTTGGATGTAAGTATATTTTGTTATATTTTGTTCTTCGTTTTTCTTTACAACGCTTCTTTCTCTTCGTTTTCTTATATTTAACAAAAAAAAAGTCAACTGTGTCAAAATAATTTCATATCTTATTTCATCTCATTTCGTTTCATTCATTTACTTTTTTCCTCAGCAAACCACGTTGCCCAATGTGTAATCTCAGAACTCGTCGCCGTGATCTCATCAATTATGTTCCACCAGTCGTTGTTGCTGCACCTGTTGCCGTTGCTACTGTGGTCGTGCCTGTTATCGAAATCTCAGATGATGACGAAAATAACGACAACAACGACAACAATGCACAACGAAACCGACCAAATCGTCGTCGTCCACGAGAATTCGAAATGAATGGACCAGAATGGTGGTTTTTATTTCCAAGGGATCGCCGCAATGTTCAACGTTTTGGTTTCGAACGAAAATCATGTGTCATTTGCCAAAAAATATTCGTAACAAGTGACAACAAGGCATTGTGTGCCAATTGCACACGAATCTTTGATTAAAAACAAACAATTTGTTTTTTTTTTGCTTCAAATGAGATGAAATCTTAATCCGAGTAATGTTTAACATTGATTAAAAATAAACAATAACAAAGTCATGTCGAACATTTCATTTGAGTTTTTTTATTTCGGAGCATAATATATATTGATTGAAATACATCTATAAAAGTGCACAACAGATGGTGCTGATGCCCAAGTACAACTAACTTTGCGTCTCCACACATACGTAGTGAAGAGCGCGTTCAGAATAAACTGTTTGACATTTGGGATTGAAATCTAACAAGTTGTTTAGGACGGACAAATTTTTTTGTCCGTCCGTTTGAAAATTTAGCACGGACGGACGGGCATTTCTTACAGAAGGACGGACAAAGGTATATGTTCGTTTGACTCCTGACGATATTTTTAATAAAACAATATCAGAAATGAATTCCTCGTCGAAAACTAAGTTATAATAGCTTATTGGATGTTCTAAAAGTTAGATTTGCGGGCTTTTTTGGACGATCAAAATATCAAACGGACGGACAAAAAATTGTGTCCGTCCTAAATTTGTAAAAGGACGGACGGACGGACAAACGAGTGTCCGTTTGACACCTTTACGTTTATAGTGGTAGGGATCGACCCTCTGTGAATTGGCTGAAAATTTGCATGGAGTTTTGTTTTCGGTAGAAAACGAGAAAACCAAAATCTAAGGATTGTAAGTGTAAATTTTGCCCACATTTTCGAGTTCACCCAGTGTAAATTTTTCGAAAAATTGAAAAAATCGAAAAAAAGGTCTTGCGCCAACTGAAATCTAACTAAGAAGTAGTTGACACATTGCCAAGACTCTGGTACCGTTGGAAAGGGAATCAATAGGGCTACAAAAACTGCTTAGTAACCCACTCCCTTCGACCCCATTGGGGCTCCCAAAAATGGGTTCAATTTATAGAAAGTAAAAAACACGGTGTTTTTTAACATGTTTTTTTCGCATCAAAAGATGGCCCATGTCGCGCCGCTTCAGATTAGAAATTCAAATTCCGTGTATTGACCATTCAATTTTTTGTATTTGGCCTCGGAAAGTAGATCATCAAAGGAATGGAATCGTTAATCCGGTTAATGCTCGAATTCATAGGATTTGCTTCCAAACATCGACAATAAAAAAAACAGCAATTTGCTGTCAGAAAAAAAGTCAGAGTAAACAAAACTGGCTAGATTTAAATTTGAGTTATTGTGTCAATGTAATATCCACAGAAATTTGAACATATTTTATTTTTCGATCTATTGACTACATTTTCTGGTTCTTAACAAATATCTGCATCGATCGACGCTGGTGCATAAGACACAACTGCTGAACTCTTCTTAGTCACGCCAATCATTTCCAAGAATACCATCATGGCAAAGTAAAAGTAAACAATACTGATCACTGAAATTGAAATAATTGACAAGAATTAACACCTGGAATTAAAATCATTCTTTTTTCTTAATATTAAGAAGATCTCAAACTTTTGAGCTTTAAGGTTTCTTCATTTTCTAAGAGCTCAAATGTGATCGAAAATAATCCTGTGTATTTCATATGGAAAATGTCACTTGAAATCACAATTGTGCTCGTAGGTAATAGAACCCAAATTCCTTTGGGTGCATCACATTCGATTCTCAATGGAAGCCGTTTTCGATTTGATTTCAAAAGCCTCAATGAGTTGATGAATCTTCGAGTTACCTATTGCACAAAAGCCCCCAATAGGTGTGAATACAATCGTTAAAATCCCTCCAACAATGCTGCTACTAGAGAACAATCTGCCGTTTGAAGAATGTGCATTCAGTTTATAATGAAAACAAAATATAAGTTTAATGACAAATTACTTGATTAGAAACCAGACAAATGTCCAACATAGGCAGTAGAAAAATTGGATAATCCAACAAATCAGAGCCGGCACTAGCAACAGAGATCTTTCCTATAAAATAAAATATATTTACCATTTAATTTATTGTGTTTAAAATAATAAGATCAGTTTTGAGTTAACTTACATAAATAATTCCAATTTGCCATAAAATACACATGATCAAAGTTATGACTGAAATGATTCAAATACGTATTGAACGGAATAATGCTTTATTTGCTTTGGACAAAATTGTTCAACGTTATGCTAGATCTAGATAAGATAAGATATTGAACATACCGAACATCCAAAAAATGACATTAAATAAAACACTCAGGGTGTTGGCACCATATGCTAGGAAAAAAACTATACCAATTGTGTTGAATATAACTCCGATAGCACCCAATAATTGGCCATAACGTTTATAGCCATCGGCTGCTTGCTCACGTTCATTTGCATTTTCCATTTCGAGCTAACTTTTGAGTGTCAATAATTTACTAACACTTCCAACGAATATTCTCAGCAGTTTTTATAAATTTGGTATTAATAAACACATTAATCCATTTGTGAAAAAAAAAAAACATTGAGAAACTTTTCATGCACGACAAATCCCGAGGTTATCTGAACATTAACAACAATTTGCTATCGATTTCTCCGTTGGTAATACGATACACGTACATGAGTATGGTCAAATATTATAGGCTTATATGCCGACGTTATAACTTTGGAATCAGGTTTGTTTTAGTTGAATCTAAGATTTGATTGCATGGATTTCTCTCCCGATTTTAATTGATTGAAAAATCGTATTTTGTATGAATCGTACAGCAGAATCAGTGACAGTTAGTCATTAGCGGTGATATCTCAATATATTTTGGTAAAATTATAATTCAATTAAAAGAACTAATTTTGATACTTAAATACATATATCATAAAAACTAATTAAAATGTACAATTGTACATACAACACAACACAACAGTTATTGCGTCTGCCCGATTTTTTGAATCTCGTTTCTTAACGAAATGCTCAAAATCTGAGATTGAAGAACTGTTCTTCAGCCGACAGTCAATCGAAAACTGAGACGGATAGAGTTAGTCAATATCAAATGATAATAAATCGTTATCTTTTTGATAAGTGTTTTTGGCTATTATTGAATTGTTTTATCAAGTTCCGTAGATTTTTTGATAACAAATGTTTTGACATTTTCATTCATTTTAATTCGGTCATTACAAATGAACCGTTGCGACAAATCATTCGAACCGCCTGAATGTATGCAAATTTCATGATTGTCAGAGCAATCGTGTGCATGATTTCTGTGTTAACAAAGCAGTTTATCTAAAAATCCGTTTGATGACACCTTTGAAAATACCATACACAATCTACTTCTTCAATGAGTCATGGTTGGTTGTTGATAATTTGATTAGAAATTCGTATTTCATGTGGTGATAACACCAACGAACTGGCCACACAAATCAAGCGTGACTCCACACTTAACTTCTAAATGTGACACCTAGCTAAGTGTGAGCATTCATCGTAATAAGCGACAAAGAGAATGAACACAAGTGCGCGTGTGTTATTGTGTAGACTGATGTGATGCTTATGAATGTAGCGACTAATGCACACGCACTTGTGTTCATTCTCTTTGTCGCTTTTTGGTACGATGAATGCTCACACTTAGCTAGGTGTCACATTTAGAAGATAAGTGTGGAGTCGCGCTTGGGAATATACTGTATTAAAATCGAAAGAAGAAATATTTTTTTTCGATTTTCGGCTGAGTTCATATGTTCTGAAGCCCAAATTTTCAGTTAGGGTAAAAAAATTCATGAATCATGATAGCGTCAAAAAATTCCATTTTATCTAGTGTCACATGTAAAAATTTCATTTTATCTAGTGTAAACTGCCTCTCCGAAATTTTTGGAAGAGCAAAAAAAGATCGTCACTCAAAATGAAGGCGATACTCTGGATGGATCAAATAAATTACGTTGTGAGGTCAAAAAGCATGATTGGCAAATTGAAGAATTGCGTTTGCAAAATTCAGGTCTGTGCTTAGTTTTTAAACGAATTTCATTTTGCAAATGATGTTATTGTTAGTGTAATGCTACCCCTTCGTTTCAGATCACAAATTGAAATGTAACTCCCTTCAGAGCTAAAAGAGACCGTTCGATTTGGGACCAAGATTTGAGTATTACCGATTTTGGACCAATTTTCTTGACTCGTCCCGATATCGAACGAACGGGCAGACATATTTGAAAAAGACAATTGATTTGAATTCTACAATTTATCTACATTTTTTTGAAAACATTCTCCGTTCGAAAAAACATTTGATTCATGTAAAATGCGTTTTTTGACCAAGATTTGAGTAACCCAATTTTGTAGCGGTTTTTCGATAGCCGATTACTCAAAAAAAAAGTTCCTACATAAAAAAAGAAAAAACACTACATTAAACAACATAAAATCTACAATTGAAATCGCCCTACCCGAAGTCATTTTTTGGAATATTATCCAAGTAGTTGTTTTATTAAGTTGTAATCAAACAAAGCATATGACGAATGAAATTATTCATTTTTAAACAGGAAATATGATGGAAAGTAAGAATACGATGACAATCAAATTGCCTGTAATTCTACCAGATGACCCTATGATATGAATGTTGCAACCATTTTCCATACAAAGTTCGCAGTTTTCTTTGTTTTGGCATGCTTCATAGTCGCCTTTTTTGAGGTTTTTGATACAGCCACGATGCACCGTTTCATCTAAAATATTTATTAAAAAACCAGTCGAAAAAATTGAACGCGAATTGTGAAAAATGTTGCTTACTTTTCAACATAGTGTAACAACCACGTTTGTCATACGAATATTGTCCTTGGCATTCTTCTATAACGCTATCTAGATCATTATCATAAATGGTCACACAACCGCCATCGAAGCCACTCTGGCAAGAAACACATTTCGAATATATAATATTTTTATAATTACAACCAGAGTTGTGACAGGATTCGGTGCGTTCCATATATTCAAACAAATTGTTCGTTTTGTCAAGAGTACAACCTCGTTCAGCCCAACTTCCATCTTGAAGGAATATTTCATTTGAATAAAACGCATTTTTATCGAAAAATCAGTTTGAAAACTTACTCAAGCTATAATGAATGTAACACGATTCTTGGGCACCAAATTGAACATCGGTTTTGCATTGAGTTGCCGTTTTCTTCTCATGCCCAAATGCACACTCCGCAGATTTGTTACAATGTATGCAAGATAGAGATGGTGATCTTATTTTGGCTACATTGTTGCATCCTGTTTCTCCGCATTTAAGGCAAAGCCCCTTTTTATCCTTTTCGCATAACAATCGATGGTCACTTATATCAGTCAAGCAACCGCGATAAATTTTTTTGTCTGCACGAAAAATGATTAGAATTTAAGGTATGAAAAATGATTTGTCGTCTAAAAAGAATTGTAAACATTGCCAAACTGTTTTTCAAATTAGTTTGTTTCAAAGAAGTTTCCTAAGAAAAAAGTATTGTGAATTCGAAACTCAGAGAAAAAAGTCTTACTCTCAGCAAGATACGCAAAACATTGATCAAATTTGGATAAAATTCCGCAAGGCATCAGTTTCGGGGAGCTTGTGTCTAGTTCCGTTGAATTCGATGACATAAAATCACAATCTTCTATGTCACCTTCGCAGCGATGGCATTGAAGACGATTTGATGGGAAAATGCCCGTATTACATTTATTCTTTGTGCACACCTGCTGTGCCTTTGGAAATTCAATCGCATCATCTGCATAAACTCGGCTGCATCGCCGTTGAGTGAAACCATGTGCATCGATTCCAGTCACACATGAGCTCAAATAATTCTTACAAATGCACGACTCTTGCTCAATTCCATGTTGTGAACATTCGATATTCCCTCGGCTGTTACAGTAAATGCATTCCTGGAATTCTTTCTTCAAATTACAATTTTTGCCCATGCACGATTTACACTCAGCCGTTTGTTCCTTACATATATCCCGTTTAAGTGGGGGCAAATCACGAATGCAGCCTCGTTTATATTTATTACCGTTCTAAAATAAGTTTAAATGTATTTGTTACACTTTTGAAAACAGTGCCTACACGGTATCAAAGAAACGACGAGAGAAAGAGAGAAAAACAGATAGTACTGACGTCCATGCGTTTAATCAGACAGAAAGAGAGCTTCAATACGAAATTTCGATGTTTATTGTTACGCTTTGTACGAATCTTCGTTATTAAACTCTCGAAAATTCACGCAAAGCGTAACAAAACACACCGAAAATTCGCATGGAAGCTCTCTTTCTGTCTGGTTAAACGCATGGACGTCAGTACTATCTGTTTCCCCCTCTTTCTCTCGCCGTTCCTTCAATACCGTGTAAACGGCTAAAAGCAAATCTTTTACTATGCAATATGCATAAGTAAAAAAAAATGAATCTTTTAGAAAAATTACCACTTGCAAGTAGCACCCCAATCGATCTTCCGTCTCCAAACCGCTACAAACTTTGTCTTGGAATTCATGTGGTCTCTCATAACAGTGCATATCTGTATCAGAATCACATTCAACACAAGTTTCCATTGTAATTATTCGATCGTTACAACCGAAGCCATGCAATGTATTACATATTTCGCACTTATTTGGATCGTTTTGACAATTATCGATAAATGGTGGCTCTTTTTCCAATTTACAACCACGTGAAACACCAAATCGTTCAATGTAAGTAAAGCACTGATCGTCGTAGTTTTCACAAATTCTACTCCATCCTTTAGTCGGCGCCAATTCTGGATTGATTGCACATTGCCGATCATCAAATGTAGTGCACTTCAAGCACTTAGTGAATGAAAGTCGTGAATTGCAATTTGATTTGTGGCATACTTTGCATTCCTCGCTGTTTTTCGCGCAAAATTCAATCGTTGATTCCGGCAGATTCTTGAGACATCCTATTTGCTTAAAAAATCAAATATTTAAAATGATCAATAATAACATTTTTGGTTAAACACCTAGAGCATTGCAATGATTTAGTCTAATAAACAGTTTCAGAATTGTTTCTAATTTTCAATCAATAAATCACCTCTTGTATGTTCTCCAGTCGTGGCATTGATCATATGATAACATCTGTTTGAATTGACCAACATTGGACACGTTTCAAATACTTCAAACGTTGTGTTCGTTGCACACTTTGGATCGATGGCCGAGTTGCAAGCAACGCACGATTCTTCCTTATCAATTTCATAAAAGCCATCATTAGCCTCTTCAGTGTCACCCTCCAAATATTCCTGGAATGAGCTCTTCGAATTGCAATTTTCACCAACGCATGTTCTACATTCCTCATCACTTTTCTCACAAACGTCTACCATATGTTGGGACAAATTCTTTGTGCACCCTATATTCATTGAAAATAACACATGAATCACTCTTTTTATGACTTCAAATTGCATTTTTGTACCTCTTTTATGCGACTCATTGGGTTGTATAATATGAAAACACTTGAAGGTTTTTTCACAATATTCAAATTGTTTGAATGTTGAATTGGTTCCGCACGTGGGATCAAAGGTTGAATCACAAGTAATACATGTAAACGCTTTAAGGTCAGCTTCTTCTGATTTCGGATTTGATCAAATCACAATTAACAATGTAAAATGGTTCTTTCATGACAAAAAGTGTTTAATGAATTGAACTTTAGGTTATGTCAAAAAAAAAAAATAAATTCTAGCAATTCACTGTAGACGAAATTCACATGATTCTTTACTTACTCGAATCGTCCGATATGCATAAAGGCAAAGATGCCATCAATAGAGCCATGTGCCATGCTTTTAGTAATTTACCCATTAAATTTCTATGGTACAAAACCTGAACTGTGATTTGAAATAATAAATAAATAGGATTTTGTTCATTAGACGATGATAGATAATCACTAAAAGACGTAGAAAATTTTCGATACTTGTTGTATTTTACCACAAGGTATAAAAACACGATCAGCTTTATCTAGCTTAATCAAAAAATTGAAAAGCAGATAAGTTTTTTTTGCTTACCAGCTTTTTAATCAAAAAGATTTCAAACTGATAAAATTGATAACAAAATTTATTGGCATACAGTGCTTTCGTCCATTGTTTGATTAATCATTGAAGCAGTGAGTAATTCGGCAATACACATGTTGCTGAGAATAAAAAATGGGAATATACAAGTGTGTGAATTGAAGCGTAACAAAATTTGTTCGTTGGAAACGTTACATGAATCGTCGTTTCAGTAGAAATTAACATGAAAAATGTGAATTTTGATGGTGGTTTTTCGTATTTTTTGCGACAATGATGGGAGATAATGAGTTAATGTGTTCAGCAGTTCTATTGGGACTTGACCAATTCGTGTTGAAGATTATATTTCGTTATCTCTTATCATTTTCGCGAAAAATACGAAATATTACGATGAAAATTCACATTTTTCATGTTACATTTCTATTGCAGCGACCAGTGGCGTAACTAGAGGTTGAACCCCCCCCCAAAAAAAATGAAATCGTCCAAAAGAAAATTTTATAAAAAGCAAAGAAAAAATTGAATTTCACTATACTTAATAGCAAAAGTTCCGGCTCGCTTCGCTCGCCTTTCAAATAATATTTCCTTTGGTAGGAATATGAGCAACGTTGTGCGAAATTTTATCGACTATTAAACAGTCGCTTAATTTCGGACATTTTGGCTGACCAAAAATGACTATCTCGAACGAAATAGACGATAGTAGTTAACTTCAGTTACAGTCGCCTGATACTTACGAATGTTCGAGAAATGATTTTCATACAAGATTCCGAAAACACATTTGACTATATGTGTATTAAATCAATTTTAATTGATTTAAGCATTCTGGAATCCGAAGTTAAAGAATACGTTTGTAAATTTTTGTCTAGTTTAGTACGATTTCCGTATGTTTTAGGACGATTTTAGTTTCATCACTTCGAATATTCCCAGAAAGTCTCCCTTGCATTTCATTATAAATTCTAAAAAATTGAAACCCACCCCCCCCCCTCAAAAAAAAAATTTCTAGTTACGCCACTGGCAGCGAAGATTCATGTAGTGTTTTTAAGAAACAAATTTCATGTTATTTTGGACCAATTTTCATAAATCGTCTCAATATCGAACGAATGGGCTGACATATTCGAAAACCGACAATTGATTTTAATTCTACAATTTATCTACAATTTTTAGGAACCATTCTTCATTCGAAAAAAAATTCGATTTGTGGAAAATACGTTTTTTGACCAAGATTTGAGTTGTTCCATTCGTACTGCGCTAAAAGCCAATATAAACAATGTTATTATATTTGACGATACTTGAGTCGATGTAAATGACGATGTGGCAGCGCCCCCTACATAGATTCCTTATTAAAATAGGTGGAACTATTGAGTGCGTGCACCATATCGCATGTAAATTTTCAATATGGCAGCGTCCATAGGATTGGAACGTTAACCAATTTCGTAGTCACGAAATATCACCGTACGGTTCCATTTTATAGCAGTTTTTCGATAGCCTGAGTAATCGAAAAAATTGTTCCTACATAAAAAAAGTAAAAACACTACATTAAACTACATAAAACCTACAATTGAAATCGCCCTACCCGAAGTCATTTCGGCAAATTTTCCAAGATTTGAATATTCATCTTTATTTTTCACCTTCTTATATAGGGCATGTTTTATTAGGTACATTTTTCGATTGTATGTAAAGGTTGTTTCAATAAGTACGCAAAAAAGTTTATTTAAATAAAACACACGCTCAAATCTTTATTGTATGTCGTAGTTTGGTCCATAGCATTTAAGTATTGAAGTGAATATTATGCAAATAACCTGTGTGGCAGTGATTAAAATAAGCGGTAGTTCTACCGGAAACCGGTAGTTCTTAAATGAAAAATGCAGCTCCAAATTTGAAATGCGGTAGTTGCTATTTTGATGATTTTTGAACGTTTTCACACATTTTCTATGTGTACAAAATTAAACGATTGCAGTGGTTTTGTTCACTTTCTGTTTTTTTCTGTATATAATCATTATCATTTGAATGCTTATTGAAAATACTGATATTTTAAAGTCACCAGCTTTTAGGTACACAGCACGTATTTACTGCGAAATGAACTTGATAATTTGAATCGAAAACCATTGTTGGGCGGCTGGGAAGAAGCTTTAAATGAAGAAATTGTTACGACAGAAGACGAGAAGATATTCCTCAAAGATGTCGAGCTTACTCAAAGTGGTCGAACACGAGCTCAACAACAAATTGACCCAAATTCTGTTCGCAAGTAAATCATCGACTCTATCATTAAAATCAGTTCAGATCGATTCTCTACAGATGATCAGTTGGTCGAAATCATTGAACCATTCATCAATTTTGAAGCTGATGCCGATTTGAAGAAAGTGCTATTTGCTACTGATTTGGATTTATCATCGATTAATTTGCAATATCAAGAACTTGTGCAATTGAAAACTCAGCTAAAGTACAGATAAACCTTAGCACTAGCAATCTGTGCCATTTTTTATAAGGCGTCTCCACTCGCATTGAGTTTATATTGTGAATGTTAAGGTGCGTGCAACGCCCTTCAATGTAAAAAACAATACAAGTGGAGATGATACGCGGGATTTATCTGTACTTTGAGCTCAAGTCTTCAAACCAACATAAAGAAATTGTTACAAAACGTGGAAACTGCATCAAACTATGAAGATGTGATACTCATTCTGTGCCGCATTCAAATTTGTACACCGCACTCCGCTCATGTCGAAAGATGTATCAGCTCCGACAATGTCATGAAAACGCACAAACGAAATCGAATATAATGCAACGTTGCCAAAACATGTAAGTTCTTGTTTCCTTACTGCGCACTTCTTTTCTACGGTGAAGCAGACTGCTTTGTTGATGTGTATAACAATACGGGTAAAACACCGGCGCTCCGAGGTTTTCATACAAACTTCCCATGTAGACGATCGGAAACAGGCAAAAATCTAAAAAAAAGTTAAATTTTTTTTTCGATTCTCATACAGTATTTCATGTGCCCAATCCAATGGTGTTATCGGCACATCGAAATTCGCGCTCCTTATAACTTAATTTTCACTCCGAAGCCAAATCACAACCAAAACCACCATTACAATGAATCCATCATTCCAATGAGCTTGAAAGTGTATCAAACATTTTTGCTTCAATTAAAGTGAAACACGATTTCTATAGTCCACAGATATTTTACGATTCACTTACAAGCGAACAGAATTTATGTTCAATGATTTGGTTTTTGTATTGCCTCAATACGTTCGAATTGCCGTTTGTTCAACTACACCACTAAAGCGAGAAACGTCACTCATTCTTTTTTCTTTATTAAAGAAAAAAGAACAAACGGCAATTCGAACGTATTGAGGCAATACTAAAACGTCGTTCGGCAGGTGGCTGAATGGTTAAGCATCAGACCGGCAATCTGAGTATGCGGTGTTCGAGTCCCGCACTGCCAAAATTCTTTTTCTTTAATAAAGAAAAAAGAATGAGTGACGTTTCTCGCTTTAGTGGTGTAGTTGAACAAACGGCAATTCGAACGTATTGAGGCAATACAAAAACCAAATCATTGGAAAGAAAAAACGTTCGGCAATACAACAACAATTATTGCTAGTAATAGCACTAATTTCTCATAGAATTTATGTTGCACTTTTGAAAATCAAGAATATTGTGTTACGGTTATCCATAAGTGGTTCAACTTTAGTCATTTTCATTCCCGACCACTCATTTGATGTGGCTGATGTGATTGCTGACACTGACACTGACGATGAGCAACAATCTAAACAAAAATCCAAACAAAAATTTTTTTAATGTACTTTTACTTCTTTTACTCTTCTTATCAATAAAGCAATAAAAAACAAGAAAGCAAATATGGCCCTTTGTATTTTTGAAAACTGAAGACCTTTTTTTTAGGTCATTGAATTTTTCAGCTCGAACGGTAGTTCTTAAAAATTCTTATTTTAATCACTGCTGTGTGGGGCATTTTAATCGTGGCCTCTTTTAGAGGCCAAATTTCAAATACATTTTTGTAAAAACGGCTTAATTAATGGTATTAAAATCCACTAAATCTTGGTTTACACTTCTCAAAATGAAGCTACGGCACTCGCAATAAACTAATCTTTCGCATTATAGTAAGAACAATGGTCCAATTTTCAGAAATTTGGAGATTGAGTAACCAACCTACGCATTTAAAACCCAAATTTTATGACATTTCTGATCAAAATGTTTTTTGACGATTTTTTTGAGGTCATATTATTGTTGATTCGAGTTGTCTATATAATGAGTGCCCCAAGCTGTCATTTTAAAGTAAAAAATCCAATAATTGTCAACGCCATTTTTGCAAAATTGGCCAAAGTCGGCCATGATGACCAAAAACGGCCTATTGGCTATATCTAAAAAAACGGTGCGGAATTTTGATCTTGTTGTTGGGGCGAATTTTTGGCTCAAGTTACGATAAAAGCTTTTAAGAATAAATAAAACGAGATAAAAATTGTTTCTGAGAGGTAAAAAGCAGGATTTTAACATGATATTTTAAATTTTTGTAAATTAAAAAACAGACCTATTTTCGTGGTGGGACTTCACCATTTAAACGCGTTGTTTTTTGAAATATTTCTTCATGGAAACAAATGCTAAAGATTGACGAATAATTTTGATGTATTAGTTTGACAGATGGGGTAAGCGGTCATGGTTTACGATAGGGATACTTTTTTGTGTCGCTGTTGAAACACCCTTTATTTCAAATGAAATGGCTTAATGAATTAAATTAATGGTGTTTAAAAAGAAATGTGATGCAAATTATGAATGCAATAACAACGAAATTGCCGGTAATTCTTCCAGATGACCCTGCGGCATCGATATTACAATTATCTTCCATACAAAGTTCGCAGTTTTCTTTGTTTTGGCATGTTGCATAGTCATCTTTGCTGAGGTCTTTGATACAGCCACGATGCACCATTTCATCTAGAACATTAAAAAAAAATTCAATTAGGGAAGTCAAGGTTATAAAATTCAAATTGATTCGCTTACTTTTCAACATCGTGTAACAGCCGCGTTTCTCATGTGAATATTTTCCTTTGCATTGCTTGATAAGGCTATCTACATCAGAAATTTTCGCACACTGTCCATCAAAGCCACTCTTGCAAGCAACACATTGCGATTGTTTAATGTTTTTATCATTGCAACCAGTTTCGCTACAAAATGAGATTTTTTCCGTATCTTGGAGCGATTCAAGCGTCTTTTTCGCATCAAGAGTGCATCCACGTTCAGTCAAACTTCCATCTTGAAGGAATATTTCATTTGTTTAGAACGCATTTTATAGACAAATCATGTGCTATGCCAAACTTCTATACATTCAGAATAATTGAACTTACCCAAGCTATACTGAGTGTAACACGATTCTTCGGCACCAAACGGAACATTGGTTTTGCATTGAGTTGCATCCTTCTCATCTTGCCCAAATGAACACTCCGCAGATTTTCCACAATGTACGCAAGATAGAGATGGTGGTCTTATTCTCGCCATATTGTTGCATCCTGTTTCTCCGCATTTAAGGCAAAGCCCCTTTTTATCCTTTTCGCATAACAATCGATGGTCATTTGTATCAGTCATGCAACCACGATATATTTTATTGTCTGCATAAAAAGTAAAAAGAATTCACAAAAAATGAAAGTTTTTTTCCTTTTTGCCTCCGAAAAAATTGGAATATCTTCGAATAATGGATGGAATGTTGGAAATAGAAACATCTTGAAATTAAAATAAAACAATAAAAACAAACTTTACCTGCAGCAAGGAACGCAAAACATTGATCAAGCTTGGATAAAATCCCGCAAGGTACCAGTTTCTTGGAGTTTGTATCTATTTCCGTTGATTTCGATGGCATAAAATCACAGTCTTCTTTATTACCTTCGCAACTATAGCACTGAAGACGATTCGATGGGAAAATGTTTGTGTTGCATTTATTGTCTCTACACACCTCAAACTGTTCATTCGGGAATTCAATTGCATCATCGTCAAAAGATCGGCTACAACGGCGTTGAGTGTGACCATGTGCATCGATTCCAGTCACGCAAGTGTCCAAATAATTCTCGCACATATGTGATGTTTGCACCGTTCCATTTCGTGAGCATTCGATATTTTCTCTACTGTTACAGTAAATACACTCCTGGAATTCATTTTTCAAATTACAATTTCTACCCTCGCACGTTTTGCACTTATCATTGTTTGGATGCCTGCAATCGTTTAATTGGAATGGAATCAAATCACGATTGCAGCCTCTTCGGATTCGTCCACCGTACTAAATAAAGTCAAATTATTAGTTATTGCTGATGAAAACAGAGTGCCTAAACATATATATGCTTGGTATACCAAACTCAAATTAAAACTTACCGTACTTAAGTAGCAGCCTGGCATATTTGCCGTTATCAAGCCAGTACAAATTGAGTCTTTGAATTGATGCGGTTTATCGCGACAGCTCGGGTCTTCTAGAGAATCACATTCAACGCATGCTCCTATTTTAATTGTTTGATTATTACAACCATTTCCGTCAAATGTATCACACATATTGCACTTATTTGGATCAGAACGACAGCGATCAATAAATGGTGGCGGTTTTTCGAGTGCACAACCCCGTGAAACATCCTTTTGACCAATGTGAGTATAGCACTCATCGTCATAATTTCTGCAAACTTTACTCTCTGCATGTTGAGGTTTTGTTGCACATTGTAGGCCATCGGACGTTGTGCAATTCAAACACTTAAGGAACGTTGTTCTGGTATTGCATTTTGAATCGGGGCATACTTTACACTCCTCGCCATTTTTCTCACAAAGTCTGATCATCGGTTTCGACAGTTTCTCGAGACAACCTATTCAGTCGAATAGTTTTGGATTAATTCAAATAGATTCATTTTGAAAATGTTGGTATTGATTCAAAAAAATTTTAAAATTTCCACCAAGAAAATTTACCTCTCCTATGTTCACCAGTGGTGGCATTAATCATATGATAACATCTGTTTGAATTGATCGAAAGCGGACACTCTTCAAATACTGCAAACGTTATGTTTGTCGCACACGTTGGATCGATGGTAGAACTGCATGAAACGCACGATTCATTGACAATAATTTCATCATTGCAGCCATATCCATTAGTACAATGCTTACAATTGGCCTTATAGAATTCACATATATCAACATCTGGTACCGTTTTGTCTCCGATGCAGTTACGTCTCACTCGACCATTCTCCAAATGTGTATAGCAATGGTCCAAATAATTGGGGCACACTTTTCGTTCCAATTGCCACGGTGCACTAAGGCAATTTTCGCCATCAACTTCTGAATCGCAAATGTTACATGTTTGAAAGTGACGTTTCTCATTGCAATTCTCACCCATACAACTCTTGCAAGTGCCATTGCTGGCGCGGCAATATTTGCGTTTTTCCGGAAGTAGTTGTGACATACAACCACGTTCCACGACATCATTTTCATCTACGTTTAAATAGCATCCCAATCGTTTCGCAGTCAATGGACATTCCTTTTCAAGTCCCTTCGTATAATACCTGCAATCTTTTTTCGTTGCCGTTGAGCAAACAATACATTGTTCATGTTTGACTTGTCCACCGTTGCAATTATCGTCTCCACTGCATTTGACACATATCTCATCATTATCACAGTCTTTAATATCAATATTAATGCCATCATTTTTTGAATCAATTATGTCGCTGATGCAACCCTTTCGAACAGTTTCATTGGAAACGTGTGTGAAACATTCATCGGTGTATCGTCTACATAATTTCGATTGACTATCACTCGCATTCATCGGATTGGTTGTGATGCAATGGAGGAAGAATATTTCCCGATTGCATTGTTTTCTAAAGCATTTTTTGCATTCATCACTATCAGATTCGCATTGAACACGTTCTTCTTTATCTAAATGAGCGATACAGCCTCTTTTCACGTGTTTTCCATCGTAATGATGATAACATCCAGATGAGATCACTTCCAATGGACACCGTTGTCGTATCGCAAATGCGCTGCTAAAGCATGTTTGATTCAATCGTGAATCACATCCAATGCACCACAACGGTTCGATATCATCACTATTGCAAAGTGTTGAAGAGCACTCTTGATAGACTGACGCATTATAGTTTTTCGCATAAAAATCGATCGAAACGTTATTCTTTTCCGTGAAATCGGACAAACAACCCTTTATGACGGTTTCATTTTCATTGACCAATGTAAAGCATTTGTCATCAAACTTTTTACAGGTTCTCCTTCCTTTTGTCCACACCGCTGCTGGCTTCTCACCTCTATCAAAATAACAACGTCGGAATTCGGTCATTGAATTGCAATTTTTACCAATACACATCTTGCATATTTCCGATTGTTGCAAGCATAAAGACTTCAAATGTCCTTTCACATCCCGAACACATCCTCGTTTTATTCCACTTAAAAAGGTCTGCAAAACGAAAAATGGGAGATTGGGTTTGGTTGAGTTATTAAACTTTAGTAGGTGTTAATTTTTCACGAATTATATGCGATTGTAATGAATTTAATATTTCGATTACACTTACTTTATAGACATAGCACCCTTCATCTTTTGTTGTATTCATTCCACTACAGATTTTATCTTTGTATTTATCGGGTCTGTTCGGGCAGTCTTCGTCGCCATCTTCGAAGGAACATTCATTGCACATAAACATTTTGATGGATTTATTGTTGCAAATGCTTTCCTCGTTTGCTGTACAAATGCCGCATTTATCGGGATTTTCGCGGCAATCCTGGATAAATTCCATGCTTCGTTCATTTAAACATCCACGTGACACATCACTGCGGCCAATTTGAGTGAAACACTCATCATCGTATTGCTTGCAAATTTTGGTGTGGCTTTTTATTGGATTCTCAGCACAATTGCCATCTTCTGTCGTACTGCAATGTATGCATTGTTTGAATGAACGTTGAACATTACAATTTGAACCGATGCATATTTTACACTCTGCTCCATTTTGTTGGCAAAGTGATAACATTGGCTCCTGCAGCTTCTTAATACAGCCTCTCTTATGCACTCCAGTGTCTTTATCGATATGATGATAACACGTTTGTGGATGAATCGAAAGCGGACAATCTTCGAACGATCCGAATGTTGAATTTGTAGCACATGTTGGATCGACCGATGAATCGCATGAAATGCAAGTTTCAAACTTCACAACATTGTCATTGCAGGAGCGTTCACCAGAGCAAATTAGACATTTGTCTGGATTATTGATGCAATAAGCTCTATCGGGTACGGTTTCATCTCCGACACAATTCCGTTTCACTATGCCATTGTTGAGGTGCGTGTAACATTCACCCATGTAATTGGCACAGGTAATTTCTCCTTCTTCGGCATCCCATGGTGCGTCGATGCACTTTGGATCCGTCAATGAATCGCAAATGTAACACGTTTGGAATGTCTTTTTTATATTGCAACTGTCGCCGGTGCACATTTTGCATCGGAAATTGCCTTCTTTGCAGTAATTCCAATTTTCATTATTCAATTTCGACATGCAGCCACGCTCCACAAAGTTGCTTTTTAGTTGATTCGTATAGTTATGGAGGAAACATCCCATATTCATCATCGCCGATGGGCATCGTTGTCTCATATCAAACGTTGGATTGTTAGCACAGTCTACATTATCGCGGCAAACCAGACAATATTCATTCTCGATGTCAAGATCATTGCAATTGTCGCGATCGTGGCATATTTTACAACGTCCATTTTGACATTCAGACACAAAGTCAATGTTATTACCAGGCGATTCGGCTAAATCACTGGTACAGCCTCGTTGGATGGTGTCATTGAACGCACGAGTATAGCATTCGTCCAAATATCGTTTACATATTTTCGATTTCGAAACATCAGCTACTCGTTGATCATCTGAGATGCATTTTTGGAAGTGAGCTTTGTCATTACATTCGTTTCCCATACATTTTTTACACGTATCACAATCCGATTCGCACAGCTTGCGCATATGTGGTTTTAAATCAGCAATGCAACCTCGTTGGGTGTGATTCCCTTCAAAATGATAACATCCGGATGGGTTCATTTCTATTGGGCACTCGAAGAATGCATAATTTCTCCATGCCAAAGAAAATGGACGACGACAATCTCGATCATATCGTGAATCACACGAAATACAATTAGTCGCCCGGATTGTTTGATCATTACACAATGATTCTGAACACACTGAATACAATGGTCTATTGTATGTCTCCGATAAAAAATTGATTGGCAAATTATTTTCCTCCGCATATTCGCTCAAACAACCTTTGATGACCGTTTTTTTACCGTGATTGATCAGAATGAAACATGCATCATTATGGTGTTTACACGTTTTAACTTTCTGGTTGGATTGTTCGTCTAGATTCATTTCACCATCAGAGACGTAGCACTGTTGAAGAGTCTTTCTTAAATTGCAATTGTTTCCGAAACATGTTTTGCAATTTTCCGATTGTCTTAAGCATTCGGCTTTTTGTATTTCGTCCAAATCGGTAATGCAGCCTCGTTTTGTTATTTTTCCTTTCTAATCGAGAAAAAAAAAATAGAAGAAAAAAAAATTGTAAATTGAGGTTGAATTTGTGCAAAATAAATCGAGATAAAAAAAAAATTATTATGAAAATGCTCTCACAAACCTCATGTATCCAACATCCTTGCCTGTTGTAACCAGACACATTGAATTCACTACATATTTTATTTTGAAATAATTCCGGTTTGTCACGGCAATTTTTATCCCTCAGCCAATTACAATGTGCACAATATTCCATTTTGATGGTCTGATTGTTACAGCCCAAACCGTTGGCCGTATTGCAAATTGAACATTTATGTTTAGTATTATCTCGACATGCGCTTTGGAAAAGAAAGTTTTGCTCTTTCAAACAGCCACGCGTAATAGAATAATCGCCAATGTGCGTATAACATTGATCCTCATATGCTGTGCAAAGCTTGCTGTGTTCTACACCAAGACCATCTAGACAACCGGCATCTGTCGTTGAATTGCATTGGAAACAACGTTCAAACGATGCTTTGTTATTACATTTATTTTTGGTGCATACTTTGCATTGGTCATCGTTTTTTTCGCAGCGTTCTTGTTGTGATTTTGGACTTTTATTTGTGCAGCCTAAACAAAATTTGTAAAAAATTAAATTGAATATGTTGCTATTTATATATGGATTCTTATAAAACAAAAGTAATTTCTATCTTTAACTCGAATCTACCCCGTGTTCAAATGTAACGCTTTGTGACAAGTAACGAACCTTGGTACTAAAAATCTGACGAGTGATAATATCATTATGCTATGGCATGTTTATGATTCCTATAGGATGCTGCTAGTTGGATCTAAAGTTGATAGAATTATTTTCAAGTTACAGCACTTCAAACTTTTAATTTATTAAAAAAAAAAGTGAGTTTTTTCCATTTTTTTTTAAATTTCCACTTTTTTCGTCAATTTTTCACTGAAAATCAAAAAATTTAAGGCGAATTTCGGGAAAACTAGTGGAAAATTGAAAAAACTGAGTATGCAGATCTTATTTTTTCCATTTAAATAACATATTTTGACAATATTTTGAAAATCGGTGCCAAAAAATAATTGTGGGTAGATTCGAGTTAAAGAAAGAAAGAAAGTTATCAAAGTATTTACTTCGTCTATGTCTCCCTTTAGCGTCAATAGAATGATAGCACGATGGTCGATGAATTGAAAGATAGCATGTGGTAAACTCATTGAATGTCGTATTTGTGGCACATGTTGGATCCCAATCCGAATCGCAGTTGACGCACGTTAAAGATTTAACCTCTTCATCGTTACAATTGCCAACATTTGAACATAGTTTACAATCTTCTGGATTTTTTTTGCATGTGTCCGCATCGGGAACTTTGTTATCTCCAGTACAATTTCGAATCACATGGTTTCCAAATTCAACCCATGTATAGCATTCTCCCAAATATTCTTCACATGTTCGGCCAAAACGACCAAACGTTTTATCAATACAAGCTTTGCCATGGATTCTCGAATCACAATCGATACACTTTTGGAACCATCGTTTTTGATTGCATTTATTTCCCAAGCACATTTTGCACGAGCCATTTGGAAGTTTGCAATCGTTTTGTCCGTTTGAGTCGAGTGATGACATGCAACCACGTTCTGTTAATCGCAATCCATTTTCCCGCATATAACAACCCACTTGCTTCAAAGCCAACGGGCACTGTGTACTGTTCAGTTTTTCTGGATGATATTTACAGTTATGGTCATCCTTCGATGAACACACAAGACAATCTTCACTTTCGACTTCTCGATCATTGCAATTATTTTGATCGGAGCATTTTTCGCAAATCGCATCGTTTTTACAGTCTTCCACCAGATCAAATTCTGTGATTGGTGACTCAATCAAGTCACTCATACAACCTCTGCGGATGTTGTTATCCCGAACATGGATGAAACATTCATCTGTATACCGTTTACACGTTCTAGTGTAAGTGGAGTTTAAATTTTCTGTGTCAGTGGCAAGACATTTTTGGAAGAACGATTTCGAATTACATATATCTCCGATGCATTTTTTACACGTCTCACTATCAGATTCGCATAATTTCCGTTTCTCTTCATCCAAGTCGGTGATACAGCCTCGTTCGATGTGATCGCCCTCAAAATGATAGCACCCCGATGGGTTCCCAATTTCCAAGGAACATTGTTTTCGTGCGGATGATGTACTGTTCATGCAATTTTCATCGTAACGTGAATCACACGATAGACATTGCATGGGCTGCACATCATGATCATTACACAATGGCTCAGCACATACTTCGTATGATGTCGCATTATATTCATTAGATAGAAAACTACGAGAAATTCCCATCGTCTTTGAATATTCATCTAAACAATCTCGAATGACAGTGCCAGCTTTAGTTCCAAGCACGAAACACAAATCATCGTATTTTTTACAGATTTTGTTAAATATTTGTTCATCGAGCGGAGCCTTTGGCTTTTGATCTGCGATCATTACACCCTTAGTTGCAACACATTTGGCAAAGGCTACTTTGCTATTACAACCATTTCGGGAGCACGTTTTGCATGTATTGTCATTTGCCAAGCAATTTTCCTTGTCGTCACCTTCCAGATCTGCAACACATCCTCTCATTATTCGTGTGTCTGTAAATTAGAAAACGTTTTGTTTCATTGACAACATATATCAAGAGATGAACTTCTTTTTTAGTATTAAAACGACGAACTTGACTGGACGCAAATGTTTGGCAAATTAAATAATTCTTGAAGTATTACTAAGCAGTCAATGACAGATAGCTGAGGATACATGCTGAGCATAGAAACTCAGTAAGCTGAGATTGGGACATTTTGACTTTATGACGTGTAGTCCATACAAATTTATGATGGCACGCATACATTTTCGTGCATTTCATCATGCATTTATATGGACTACACGTCATAAAGTCAAAATGTTCCAATCTCAGCTTACTGAGTTTCTATGCTCAGCATATATCTTCAGCTATCTGTCATTGATTGTTACTAAGCTAGTCTAAAATGATCAAATTCATCATATTATAAATTAACTACCTTTAATTGAATGGAAGCATCCGAAATCTTCTTTGGAATCTGGGCAACGTTTTAGCATTGAGTCATCCACTTCGCTAACGCATTTCGGCTCAGTTTTTGAGTCACAAACATGACAATAACGATCGATTGTTACCACTTCATCGTTACAACCATCTCCCATGCATTGAGTCATCTCGTCGTCATCCAACTGATTTGGCTTAAGATCTTTGACACAGCCTCGAGTTACCGTTGTGGCTAAAGTATTAGAAGAAAAAAACGCCATTAAATTCGGATCAAATAAAATATCAATCAGTTCATTTACGTTTCTTAAGAGTGTAGCAGCCACGTTTTTCATACGAATAGGTTCCTTCACATTGCTTAATCAAACTATTTTTATAGGTTAATTTTGCACATTCAGATTCCACATCACTTTCACACGATATACATTTTGAGTGCAACACATTTTCCTTATTACATTCAGACTCTGAACAGACTTCAAAATGTCCATCGATCTCAGATGGTTTTGGATCGTCTAGTGTGCATCCTCGTTTAGCCCAACGTTGCCCTGGAAAATGAATTGTTGAAAATGGTTCGAAGTGTTCTTTTTGATGTAATTATAATTAATAATTTCTCATACCGTCATTGTAGTGGGTGTAACAAGATTCTTCGGAATCAAATGGAACTTCGCTTTTGCATGGAGTGGCCTTCTCATGTCCAAATGCACAATTTTCCGATTTGTCGCAATGTACACAGGACAAAGATGCTGGTTTAATTTTTGGCACATTGTTACATTCAGTCTCACTACACTTGACACAAGTTCCATTTTTATCAGGTCTATCTTCGTTGCATAAAGCGCGATACTCTCCACTGTCAGCCAAGCATCCACGGTACATTTTGTTGTCTTGAATGAATTGAACAAAAGTTACTCAAAATAAGAGAAAACTTAAATTATTTTGTTAAATCAATGGTTAAAAGAAGTCGACTAAAATCTAGACTAATTGATTTTCACAAAAGCACATTAAAGATTTTCTTTCAATTTTAACAGTGTCAAATTATTATGTCCTTTTCACACTAAGTGCGATCATACTCCGTTGTCATAGTAGTTGCCATTAGTGTGAGCGACATATTTTGTTACTAATTTCTCACCTTCACTGAGATAAGTATAACATTGTTCAGGTTCTAATATCTGGCCACATGGCATTGGTACCAAAGAATTGGTTGAATTCATAAAATTGCACTCATCCTCGCCGTTGCATCGATAGCACTGAAGACGATTTGGTGGGTAAACTACAGTATTGCAATTATCTTCGTTGCATCTATGCACTTTATCCGATAGAATTGTGCCAAAATCATAGCTCCAACTCATGTCACCACATCGCCGATGAGTATAACCAGCTCTATCAATATACGTCAAACACACTCCATAATAGTTCATACATGTGACCGAATTAGTCAACGTTGTGTTTCCTGAGCATGTAATATCATCTTTGCTATTGCATTTAAAGCATTTCGTAAACTCTCTCTTTCTATTGCAGTTTGGTCCAGTGCATGATTTACAATTATCCAAAACCTCTGTGCATGACGTTTTTGTTTCTGGATTTAAATCGATTACACAACCTCTTTTCACATGATCTCCCTCCTAGAATTTTGCGATTAATTTTTTTTCTTTTATTTATAAATCCAAAATGCGAATATTTTAAAACCTACCACACGCAAATAGCAACCTTCTGAATTATATAAAGGATTCGTACTGATGGTACATACTTTGCCTTGATATATATCTGGTTTTTCTTTGCAATAATGTCCGTACTGTGTATCGCATTCGACGCATTGTTCAGCAAAGAAGGTCTGATTGTTACAGTTGTTTCCTTCATCAGTTTTACAAACGGTACATTTGTCCGGATTTTGAAGGCAATCGCTGGGAATATCTTCATCAGACACGCAGCCTCTCGACACACCACCTTTTTCAACATAGGTGTAACAATCATCATTGTTGGTTTTGCAAGTTTTACTTTGTACATTCTTTAAGCGATTTACACAACTCATACGATCGGCGATGGTGCAGTGCAAACATTCCCTTAACGATTTTGCCGAATTACAATTTGAACCGACGCATATTTGGCAGTCCTCTCCGAAAACTTCACAGAGACGAAGCAACCATCTGTAATTTAAGCCATCGTGCAAATTCTTTGTACATCCTATTGTAGATGATATAATGTTAACGAACTTCAATTTATTCATATTGAGAAACAATTGAATTCACCTCTTTTGTGGAATCCATTAATTTTTTTTATATAGTGATAGCATTTATACGGAGCGCCACAATCTTCGAAAGATTCAAACGTTGAATTTGTACCACATGTTTTATCAATAGCCGAATCGCAAGAAATACAGGTAAATTTTTCATTTCTCGAATTTTCACTATCACCAACTTCTTCTTGAAATGGATTAAAATCAATGTCTCCCGCATACCCATTACACTTGTCTGAATGGCATTGTACACAATGATTAGTGTCATCACAGTTGACCGTCGCCGAATCATCATGATTTTGCGATATACAGCCGCGGTACGTAATACCATCTTGAAAAAATCAATTGAAAACGAAATATGAAATTGGATTTCTCTAAGATTTAAGTTATGATAGCTAAAAAAAACACAGAACATATCAATTATTGAATAGAAACAACGTTCAGGGAATAAATTCCACTTGTATTGTTTTATTCAGCTATTGATATTGTTTTATCACAGTCTGGCATCTAAATTACTTTCGACTTTTGTGAAGCATGATGCAACACTCGATGAACATGTTTCAACGGGTAAATCCACTTCATTTTGCACGTAATCCACTGAACAGGCTTCTAAGTTATCTGATGAACATACATGACACTGGAGGTTTTGTGCTGAAATTTTTTTTTTTATATAGAATCAATTTTGTGGAAAATATTTTTTTTTTTTATGCAATTGAATTTCGAGAATGAAAACCGTTCATTATATCGTTTTCATCAATGAAAGCGACATAAGTCTGTTATTGTGGCTTTATTTCGGTCCTCTATTGCGATAAAACGAAACATTGCTCATGTGAACGTGAAACGCAGGTTTCTATTCTATTCTATAGTGTCCAATTTGAGTACATAAATTCATTTTAGGGATTCACAGCTGCTTTTTTAAGAAAATAATTTCGATATCACTAAACAGAAGATTTTCAATAGCGAAAAAATATATCGCCAACGTCCATAGCGAAAAAATATGTTCAGGAAACATCTAGTGATAGTGTCAAAATTGATGATAAACGATCTTTTGACATTGAATATTAGATAAGACTGAGAAAAGTCTTCAAAATATAAAACTTCCTTACCAACAATTCCAGAAGTAAATTCATTAACCATCAATGCCACGAGGAATGTACAAATTTTCCAATTTGAATTTTTCCCCCACATTTTCCACACCACAATTATTTTATGATCGATATAAACTTAGAACACTTTCATTTGAAATATATTAATAACACGAACTCATCAACCAATATCATGAATTTTTGTACACTCAAACTGGATTGTTGAATTATCCACACCAAATTCGTCAAGAGAAGTCAAAGAGCTGTTTCAGAAGACAACACCTGAAATTTATTTGCGCTTTCGTCTTATAAATGAGTGAGTAGAGATTCATGACAATTGATTATGAATTATTAACATTACAATCAATAAGAGACAATGGAATTATCGCGAATATTAATGGGTCCACTGAATTAGCCAAAAAACGTGTCCAAAGATAAGACAATGATGATGAAATACATTCATCATACTGAATCGAATTGAAAGGCTCTCAGAAATCGCATATGTTGCTTTTGCCTAAAACGTCAATGTCATTAGCAGCATTGACGTTCTACTGACTTAAAAGCATTGAAATTTCAATTGCTTTGACGTTGTATGCACAAATTTCCCAGAGCATTTATTTCCATTCATTCAATTGACGACATATAATGCTACTGAGATTGGCACTTAATCTGGTGTTTGGCATCTTATTGTTGGTATCACTTAGAAGTGCTATTGAAATTTTGATTTCAGATTGTTGTTTGTTAAGTTGTTTGTTATCATTTTTAACATTTTTCTCATTCGTGACACTGTTTTTGAGAACTTTATCAAATATGTGTTGCGTGAGTGGGTTCGAAGAAATCAAAATATGTTTGAGCGAGTGGCGTTACATGGTGGAATAAATGTTCATTATCGTTTATTGAAACTTGAGTCTCTCAAATTGCCGTGTCTCCGATTAATGAAATTAAATAATATCGTTTTTTTTCTTATTAGGAATTCGTTCTCACTTAACATAATTCAGATCAGGAAATGACATTTCTTCATCTTTTTCCCGGGGATCAATAAAACGATCATTTTGAATCTCAATGACAAGAAAAATAATGTGAAATACAGTGAGATTTTTATTATGTTTTCAAACACAGTTTTTTTTGTGTTGAAAAACATTTAACTTTGCAATACGATTTAATCATTTTTCTAATTAAATGATTTTCGATATTTACCATCATTCACTCATTTTGTCCTCTGTTGAGACATTATTATCTGTGGCAAGAAAAATTTCGAACATGATCCAAACATATCGATTCTTAGATTGTGTTCCTCTTTCTTAGCAACTTTGAATCCATTCAAAGATTGTACAAATAATTTGATCGCAGGTTTCAATGAACTGCCTGATTTTATGATTGTTTTCATCTAATATTTGTAGAACTATCATCATGGTTATGAGCAAAGCATAACTCATTTTCATTAGTTCAATGCCAACAAAAATGACGAAACTATTTATATATTTCCCATCATAAAATAGACGCAATTGATTATGGTTTATCAACCATATTCCTATATCACTTCATTTTTGTGACTAATCCAATTTAACCGCTTTGCAATCTGTTGAATTCCAAAATGCCGGCGACAAAGTGATTAGAAAAGTGGTGTTCGTCAGAGTAAACACACACCCTCTTCTATGGTCAATATCAACAGCAGCGAACAAACGAACCGTCCAAAGTTTAAATAAACGTTGGTTGCATTGATTAATGCGAAATAAAAATACACAAATTGTATTCGAAAGTGCCGTGTGGTAACACACGCATTTGCACATTATATCGTTCATTGCTATATACCATCCATCCAATAAACGGCTGAACTCTTTAAACAGTTCTAAAGGTTAAATTAAAGCCGAAAGAATGGCAGTAATATGTTTTACTTTTCCACACGACCATGTCGTGGAAGAAAAGTATTGTGATTGCCTCAAATTTTTGGACCCCCTAAACACAGGTTTTTTACGTAGGTTGCTGCTTAAGTTTCTGGCCTAACCTAGTTCTAGTGTTTTCCGAAGCAAAACTTTGGGTCAGTCAAAAAGTTTGACCTTTTTTAAGCTAAGTTTCCTCAGACGTCAACTGTTGATTCACTACGGATCGTGGTGTTTTATGAGCTTGAATATTTCAATTTGATGAAAAAATTGAATTTTTCCGCAAACATTTTAGTGCAATGATTTTTTCCGATTTTTGAGAGGGACTAACTCAACAAGAGTGCCGTGATAGCCTCAAATTCGCTTTGGGTGATAAAACTCGGTCCATTCCAAGTATTTAGAGGTGGTATAACGATTTTAAATGTTGACGAAGCTCACTCAAAAATGAGTCCGCAGGAAAGTCGTAAAATATCAGCTGTAACGCCGGAACACATTGATGCTGTGCGAAACCTTAAGGTGGAATATTCTCATACGACTTATAGTGAGATTGGGGCATCCTTTGGCATTAGTATGACATGCATGAGGTCAATATTACATGTGGTTTTAGTGACGTAAATGCCTTTCACATGTCAAAACCTCCAAATATGTTTTCAACCAAAAAAAAGAGTTTTGGACAAAAATAGGCCTACAAACTCTCAATAATGCAATTTTGATAGGCTGAAAAACCCTCAATCGTCACTAGAGATTACAAAATTATCATTTATGAGTATAGCATGTCATCCCAGAAGGTTTTAGTGATAGTATCGTGTTTGAAAATAACAGAAAATTTTCCTTATTTCTGAAAAAACAGACGATTTTCGCAAATTGCAATGCTTCGTTCTGGGAAAAAATGATTTACATGACTGTTATTATACTTTGGAATTGTAGTGCCATGAATTCTGAATAAAGCGGACATTTTTGGAATGAAAATATTCAGAAAATGGGCCAAAAACTGGGAACTATCTGTCACTTCATGAATTTTCACCTTTTGACATGCCTTCATTCAATCGAATATTTGCAGGCCCAAAATATAAAATAATGGTTTCGTTAGCCAGAAATTATTAAATTGAGGATAAACGAAGTTTTTTAGGTGGTTAACAACAGAATAATCAATTTTTCCCATATCGAAAAATGAAGTTTATTGTTGAAATTTACGATTTTTCCAGGTATCCCTTGGAAAGGAGGCTTAGACACACCCAGTAATGTGAAACAATCCCTGCTATAGTGTTTTTTAGCCTAAAAAATGTCAAACTTTCCGATGGAATCGTCAGATTGCATCTGAAAACACTAGAAATAGGTTAGGCCAGAAACTTATGCAGCGACCCTCGTATCCGTTTTAGGTCCCAAGAAACACAAAGACTGGGTATTATAGACTGGGTATGTTTGACAGATCTGGACACTGTTAATGTTATTTTTTGGTGGAAAAAGAAGCCAATTCGTGCAAAGTAGCAACTTAATCCCAAGAAAAGTTGCCAAAATTCTGGTTCACAATAATCGCACACAGGTAATTTTCAGTACAGGATTTCAATACTCTTTTGCAACGATTCGAAAATGAGTGAAATATTGAAAGCCTGATGAAACATTGAACCCATAATTGAGCTTACGAATGAACCAGTTTTGTTGGGACCTTCTTCTGAAGAAAAAAAAGAATTTAAATTAGAGAGACTTTTGACCAAAATTAAACTCCACAATTCCTATGCTTTGAAATGAATAAATTTCCTGCAATTATTTCAAAATCATTGCCCATTGGCTGACGGTGAATGGAGAATAAATTGAAAATTTCCAAATGATTTATATTTTTTAAAGAGTTTTTATTTTCGTTAAATGATGAACAATCTAATGCTAATGTGTAACTCAACTTGGAATGGATCTTAATTAAACTGTCTTATTTTCTGCTTATTTCTAGTGTTTTCCATACGTAATCCATGTGATTAAACCCCTAAAAACTATTTTCTCGAACTAAATTCTGCCTTGACATGCGTTTGTTGGTGTTGGACGAATAACAGTTTCTTGCTGAATTGTTTCGAACAAACGGTGCATTTGAAACAAGTTGGTCGACCTTTTGTCGTGGTGATTAGTTGCGTGTCGTTTTGAGCTTGATGTTTCTCTTCGTGTTTCTTCAGGAAAGTTTTCTGTGTGAATTCTCGAGGGCAAAATTTGCATTTGATCGGCTTCACTCGCATAGAACCGGGAGGTAGTTTCCGTGGTCGTAGCATCAATTCATCATCACTCGGGCTGAGCTCGAAGAGTTTCAATGGCCGCAGATGCTCGCACGTGTTCTGAACCATATTCAAGTAATGTTGAGTCTCTTGTTGATGCACCCACAATGCGAGCATTGTTACGAATTGCTTGAAGCAAATAGGGCATTTGTGTTCCATGCCGAAACAGGAAGGAGAGCTCGAATAACAAACAGGATTCGCTTTAACAAATCTCTTCTGTTTTTTTGCTGGACGTTTTGACGATTCACCCTTAAAATTGTCTAAATATCCATGCTCTACAGCTGGCACAAGTGTTTCATTCGGCTTGGTGATTCCGAGTGATTCAGTTACGGTTGAATCACAAGCTTTCACAATCAATTTCATCGGCACAAAAATCGATTCGTCTGTTGCTACAGATATTTGTCCCATCAAACGATCTCGACGATTGCTCATAAATGCATTGAATGAGCCTTTAACCCTGGAAATAGAAAAAAAAAGTTGTAAATTGATGCAAAAAAAGAACTGAAAAATCGAAATTACTTTGGAAACAAATCGGAAAAAAATCACAAAAAACTATTCAAATACTTACTGGTCGATTGTGGCCGACAAGAAACGATCGTTGAATTCCTTGTCCAAGGATATTTCTTGCGATTGCATTTCTGATGCAATTTCTTCCAAAGTTGCACCTATTTCGATGTCAATTTTGGAAAGGAAAAGTTTGAGAACTTTTTCTACCCCATTGAAGGGAGTCGTATTTTTTGCGAAAATTATCGATGACATTTTCGATTCACTTTTTTTCAGTTTTTCTTTTTAAATGTAAAAAATAAACGCAATGATGATTGTACTGGAATATCGTTCAAACTTATGTGATAGCTCTTACGATGTTTACGGTTCAATATCTCAAGACCAACTGATACCTTTGCTTGGCTGGCTATGGCTTTTATTTACATTTGAATGCAACCATTCTTACTGTTTCGTTAGCCCTTTTTCTTGGAATGCAATGATGTGGGATTATGGCCCAGGTAGCAATTGAGGATCGGTTACTGTTTGTGGAACAAAATGTGTGCGAAAGGAATAAGACAGTTGTTTTGCTGTTGGTACTGAACCGTTTCTTGAGAAAATTCCAATTTATAATCTGGTGCATGTCCGCACCTAAATTATACGCTAAGATAGAAGTTAAATTCGGAAAAAATACTGTTTATGTTTTTATATTATTCTGTTTTTAAACACATCCATGGATATCCAACAAAGGACGACAATAGTCGTAGTTCATTTGAAACATCATTTTGACGTCTTCATTTTTACCATAAAGATTTGCATTTGAGAATTCAAGTCTAAATATAAAAATAAACGGAGAGACGTGATTTTCCTATTACTATTTGGGCCAAAATCAAACTTGTGCTAATGCAATCAGCATGAAACTTTCAGCATCTTATTTTTCCACCAAAAACTGAAATTTCAGGAAGTTTGAAGTCGAATTGCATTTTGTTGTTACTACGTGGAAATGATTATTAAATATCAACAAAATAAATGTTTGAAGTCGCTACGTTTGATTGGAACGTACTGCATATCGCACAGTGCATGACATGCAATTTACTTCCATGCTACTTTATTCAAAATGAAACACGTCAAATGCAACTGATCGTATGGAGTGTTTAATGCGTCGCCGCTTTGAGCTACCTACAATTGAACAAGATACAATTCCAATAAAATGGAAATACCCAAACGCTTTGCACTTTCATGTGGCGTCTCTATAAAAATAAATGCCAGTATTCCATGGGCTATCAAAGGCGAAACATCGCGTTAGCTCAACGTTGGGCATTTTAGTTTTGTGATATTTCAGTTTGAAAAATAAGCAATTTATCAAGTAAAAAGTTTTAGTATTAAAACCTCAATATTGCTTGCAACAGCATTAATTTCGAAGACGCTGCGTATACAGTGTGAAGTTGGTACATGTAAATATTTCATATTTGCCCAATAAAAGCTGTTTTCGGTTCGTGCGTAAAAAAAATCATAAAAAATGTTTCGTATTTAAATGTTGAAAAGAAAATTGAACAAAAATGCAACCTAAGGAACCATTTATTCGAAAATGATTCTAGTGTATCATAAATCATAACTTTTTGAGCAAACGATCAAAAAATAATAATAGTTTTCAATCTCACAATTTAGATATGAACAAATTCGGTTTGCCTGAAGAACAAGTGTAGGAAATGTCAGCAGATTTTAAAGTAAACAAGAATCGTATCGTTCCCAGAAAATTTTGATTAAAAACCTGCTGATAGAAAATACTGATTTAATTAAAACGTTCAACTAATTCCCATAAATAACAAGTGCTTTGCATAAATATACACGATTGAAAAAGTGAAAATGTCAAAGAATCGGCATAATTGCATTTTTTCTACAGAAACACAGTCGATTTGTTGTTTGATGAATTCTATTTTGAAAAATGTGCATTACGTATGCAACGTATCAAATATCATCGTCTGAAAGAAAGATTGAATGTGCAATGAACGCTGTACTTGTGCTGTAAGCTACCGCCTGTAATGATGCAACGCACGTTGCGCTTTAGTCGTTGCGTTCCAACCGTTTATTTACGCTCGTACACACACGCTTAGTTCTCAAACTGTGGGCCTGCGTGAATCTTGGTGTTGCAAATTTATAGTCGCGAGTCTTGGTGTTCTATTTGAAAGAATATTAGCCATAAAGCTTTGTAAATACTTCAAATTGTTAGATGATTGGAAATATTTCAAATATAAAAAGTCTTTTTTTTCGTATCATTTTTCAGGTCAAAAAAGAAAACGGTGACAAATCTGCTGATTGATTTTAGTCCAAGCTAAGTTGGCCAGTCGTCAAGAAGCTTGCGTTCTATTTCCAAAGATGAAAGCTGAAAGAACGGTGGCCATCGTTTTTGGCTGCATATATCTTCTAGCATGGACATGTCATTTATTCCTATTGAAATTTTCAACTGCAGATGATGCGTTGATGGTCAGACTGATTCATTCAATTCCAAAG